CTTTTTTATCTGTGAAGACTAAAATAATACAAATACTGATATGTGTATTGTGTGTGCAGTATAAAATATGACTCATGACGACAAGAACGCCACTATTGACGAAATGCATTTTTTTTTTACTGTTTCTGTACAGATACAGTCAACTCTCTCGTAAGCGACCACCTTCGGGATTAGGAAAAATGGTCGCTTGCGAGAGATGGTCGTTTATGAGAAAGTTTTTTTACAGAGTTTATATGGGAAACTGAACATAACGGGAAATTTAAAAGGTGGTCGCTTACGAGAGATGGTCGCTTACTAGAGTGGTTGTTCAAAGAGAGTTATAACTGTACTTGGATCTTTAGAGTATCTAAACATTTTCCTTTACTTCTATGTAATTTTTACGTGATTTTAATGAATTTTTCGTACCCACGACTTAAGGCCCACTACCCACGACTTCGTACCCACGACCCACGACATTTAGGTACACTCACATTGTCCTCGAGAATCAGGAAATTGATGTTCAAATGTGTCAACGCCACAATGAACTAATTAGCAGCATCTTTATGACTCGACTTTTGAAACCATTTTTGAATCAAGCTGAAAATGGCAACATAACCTGGATTGTGAAAGCTGCTTTTGCAAGATGGTCAGGTGTATTTTGAAGTATTTTATTAACAAATTAGATAAGTTATTTATTAACAAATACATGTAATAGGTGTCATAAAAATGAGATCAGACAATATTTGCCAAAAATACAATTTAATATTTAAATTGGATTATGAAAAAATATTAACGAATTATAAGTTGTCAGCGCAAAATTTGAGTAGCTAATGCCTTCATGTACTGAAAGAACAAGTGAATTGGTAAATCATAACAGTTGTATAAAGAGATAAATTTAATGTCCTAACCTGGTCCTAACTTTGTTTTGAGCTCCTTTTCTGTTAGTCAATTCATGAAATCCACATTGTTCTTTATTCTTCATGCTCTCGTATCAAACTTATTGCCATACAACGGGTGACATTTGCTTAGATGTCTTAGACTAGATCTTTTGATAAGTTATAAGCGAAAAGGCCGAAAACTAAGAGCACAATTACTTAATTATTATAATTGTTTTATTAATCTCCAAGGGGATTAAAAATCTGAATAACAATGACGATGCGCAAGGCTCTCTGGCAGTTGTAGTAAAGTTACGTCATTATGCAAACGGCCTATTACAAACTACTTCAACCATGGCAACTTTATTGAGTGAAATTGACCAATAAGAAAAAAGCATAACAAGACATTCATAKAACTGATAATACTGCTATCCAATCAAACTGAACTGATCCCATGCACCTGGTTTATCATCACTTGAATTTTGATTGGCCAGTCTTAAAAAAATGTCTTTTGGAGGTAGCCCCTCCATTATGATTGGTTGAAGCTGCTGTCAAAGTGGTCCAGGTTTGATTGTAGTTTGATTATGTATGCCATCAAAAACACCTACATTGAATATTCATATTTCATTTCGTGGCATTAATTAAAAAATAATGAGTATAGACGAAAAGAAATTAAAGAGAAATAAAAATAATGATTGAATTCTCAGTAGTGAGGTAGCCACGACCGACCACGATCACCTCATTAAAGGTTTCAAGACTATAGCTTGGCTGCCTGTGCTGATACATGCATGATGACATGTGACGACAGGCCTTTCGTCACAATATGAAAATTAACAACATAAAATAGCAACCCCTTCTCGGCTGAACTGTACATTATACATATTACCACAAAGTGAAAACGATAATGTCATCTCCCAACAGCACATCAACCTACTCGCCGTCTTCAGAGGTAATCAGTATTTGTAGAACATTAGGCAAACTGAATGATCCGAGTAAGGCAACTTCCACGTCTCTTGATGCGTCTCTTTTTTCAATCATYACAACCGCCTTGACATTTCCGTTCGCTGCCTTTCTTAACGCTTTGATCCTTGTTGCCTTTTACAAGAACTCATCTTTGAGAAAACAAGCAAACGTATTTCTTATGGCCCTAGCTTTAACAAACTTTATCAGAGCTGTGCTCGCATCTCCCTTTTTGATGGCCAAGGATGTGCTTTACCAGAAGAAGCTTGAACCCAGCTGCTTTRTAACTGTGTTTCTTTGGAACGTATCTCTWTTCACGCAAGGGGAATTGCTATTAACAGCAATAAACTGTGAACGTTTTATCGGACTTAGATATCCAATATGGCATCGAGTACATGTCACAAAAGTTCGCCTTGTTAAGGTTGCTGTCGCTTGTTGCATCCTTGGTTTTTGCCTTAATCTTGTACGAAGCTTTACAGAAAAAGCACGGATTCCTGTTGTTTTYCTTTTCTTTTGCTCCGCCTTTATCACATTCACCTTCGCTGTACTGATTTGGAGAKACATTAAAAAAAGAAATAAAGAAATACGACCTGAGKCTTGTTCGGGCCAAGCCCCTCAAACTGCCGCTGGATCAAGTAGTCGTCCAAATAAAGAAAGTCAATCTCCTTTGSAAACCGTTCACGAGGTYTCACGTCTGGGTGTTCCGACCGAGAGGGACGTCAWTGTGTCTWACTTTTCCACCCCAAAAAAAGAAAAATTACTTAATACTGCGAAGGGACAAAGCCATTTAGTAAAGACCGAGTCTGAAGAAAAAGGACACAATGATCACGGACATTATACCCTCCGGAATATCTGTTGGATATCTATTTCAGAGATTGAATCGGACAAAAACATGRAAAGGCAAGGGAATTTGACTGCAGAAGGCAACAACTGTCAACAGCACAGGAAAGTCTCACACAAWTCTGATCTCCATTCACAAAACGTTCGTAACGTCAACTTAACCAAATCAGAAAGAAAAGCAGCTCTACTGGCAACCTATCTAGCCATTGGTCTTCTGTTCACAAGATTCCTTCCATTTGTATGTCTTGCTCTAGTGGCAGTTAATATGGATCTAATGTATGCTATAGCACCATTTATGCAAACAGTGAGACTTATGACATCACTTGTGGAACCTATGATTTTACTTTCAACAAACCAAGATATTAGGAAAGTTTGTTTAAAACTCWTAAAATGCTGAGACCAAAAGTTCGTGAATTCTGTAAAACTGTAGAAAAAGATGGACCGTTATAAAGAGTATCATGTTGTTATTTTGATAATGTTAAGTGATTGATAAGTAGGAATGAATGTACTACATTTTGGAAGATAGAATATAATAGCATAGAGATTTCAAGTGAATAATTCACATGGTATATTTTTTAATTCATTCACCTGATTATTTCCGCAGGACCTTGTTTGAGCAAATTGCAAATTCTGTAAAAATTCTGTAAAAACTATGATTTTCCTTTCAACAAGCTAACACATTATGCGGCAAATTCTGTAAAAAATGAATCTGTCATAAAGAGTGTAATGTGGTTATTCTAATATGTATGAAAGTTCATTGATTGAAAAGTAGGAATGAGTGCACTACATTTTGGAAGTGATTTTCAAGTGATAGTCATTTTTGTTTCCAAGCCTTAATGAACCAGATGTCAATAAAATATGATTATTTCCGCAGAAACGTGTTTGAGCGATGTTTAATTGAATTGATTGACCATCAATTGTTTGTTTTTCATTARCCTAATTGATTGGTGTCGATCATGATCATTTTTTATAGCGATTTAGCAATATATAATCGCTATTATTACCTCGCTTTATGGTGTACCACGCATTGACTAAATAAATCTTGATATTGTCCGTACAATGTACACTGTAAAAGCTTTCAACTCCATCGCACTCCACCGTACTCACTCATTCTCGACATTTGATAAGGTTCAATCACGCTGTTTTCTGAAACTTAATTATATGGCAGGATACACAGGGAATCATTGAATTGGCTTCCTCGTTATCATTGTGCAGGAAAGAGAAGAAGAAAAGCTACAAATCTCTGAACCGTCGGTGTTCCCCAGGGATCCCTTATGGGTCCTGTACTTTTACTTATTTATGTGACTCTATACCTTCACTTATTTCCAAGCGACACGAAATCGTCCTCAAAAATTAGATTACTTTTGACGAATTTCATAATGGCCGACACTAATTAGCATATTATTGCTAAATTCATAATGCTGACAAGAGAAAACACTACTGTAAGTTAATAGACATCAAAGCTTCAGATAAACGACTCCGAAAGTTTCACAGAAAAAGATTAAATCYTSTTGAAGTTATAAGACGAAGCATCAACGTCCGAAACGTCAGTAAGTTGTTTCACCTACTTTTTTTTCACCTACTTTTTTTCACACAACTCTTTCTTTAGAAACACCGACGCAGCTCGCACTGCATAGTTTACCGCTAGTTTCCACCATATTAACCTACACGTACCCTTAGCCCGAAACGGTGTATAGTAAGGGCCCGCATATAAGAACAAGTGGATTAAGAAGACCCGGCCTGCATTTTTAGGTACCTTGTAAGAAAGACCACAATCGGCCTGAAAMAACATACATTATAGATACCTATAGGTATATAAAAACATTCATGTGCCAGATCTGTACTAGCTATATTATCATCATCATTATCATCACSATTATTTCAATAATATTATCTTATCGAAATAGTGCGCTATTATAATGCAGACAAATTCAATAATATTGAGAAATTTTGAAGTTTAACACTTGATTTCTATGTTTAGTTTCTATTTGTTTATTTTGTTTGTCTTGTACACAGGGTTCCCAGGGAGATGAAAAAGTAAAATTCACTGACTTTTCCGMACTCACTTTTCCTTGACCCTGGGARGCCTGATATAAAGTTGAAGACAAAGATTTAAGAAAGTATTAATATTTTTTGGGTTTCACGTTATCATGGTCATCAGGAAAGAATAATGTCCACAAAATCAGAATTACTTTATTACAAGCTTGAAGACACACGTAAATCCGGCAATCTTTGCGCAAATATCTCGCATTTGAGAATTTCTTTTTTGGATTTGAAAGCGAAACAAACTACCGCAAAGRTTTTCGGATACACAAGGGCCTTTAACATCACATACASACACACTGMAAACACGAGTGKGTTTTAATAYAAGTTTATCATTAAAAAAATATTAACACGACTCAACCTTTTTGATATGATAAACAAATGTACTTACATAAAAACCCTAAAGTAAATCTATTTATACTATAGTAGATCTTTTAGCGGATTTTTTATAACTTGAATACTGCGATAATAGTTTAGTGTATTCCATTACCGACAGAGTTTCCATCAAAGGTCTTTATTGAACTTCGCTGGCAGGTCATTMTTTTTTATATTATAACTCAATTCTAACACGCGCGCTAATTGGCGGAGTCTAAATGGCGGACGCCGGCTATAATACAAAAGCAAAAAACGATAGCTTGAAGAGGCTTACTGGCGAAATAAACCGCTTGGGATKGTTGGGAAAGCACGAGRAAAGATCTGTAAATCACGAGCATTCAGTCGAGTGATTTACCTTTTCGAGGTAAATCATCCTRCGCGGTTTATCACAAGTAAACCGCTTCATGCTCTATCGTTTATTTCTGAAAGCAATGTATTTCGATGTTGGAAATACAATGTACCGTAGCCTCGTATTCAGTCCTCGACATTTTTGAAACAACTTTGCATTTGAGAATGTTTCAATTTTAGTTTATTGTCAAACGATATATCTCTCAGGACCTTTTCATGATAAAGTCTTGTTCTCTAAATATTCCTTTACACTTTTTAATATCTTTATCTCTTCTGGAAATCACTACCTGGTAGTATGAGGGCTCAAAGCAGATTTTTCGTTTGTCATGGTAAGAATTTCAATGAAAAAATAATAGCAATTATAACAAGTTGAATTTGAGTAGAATTARCTAAATAACTTAAATAATAATTTACTAAAAAACTGTACTCAGCTGATACTAGAACTACCAACACCTTCTTTATTGGTCATTCTGCTACGCCAGTGACGAAGATAATCCAGAGCATTTATCCATCTAACAAAAATAGTAAATCCAATGTGTTACAACTGTCGCCGACCAGGGCACTGGGGACGAAGTACTATAAAACGAGGTCTCAAAGGCCAGCATCCGGATAGWAAACTTCAATTATGGTGTCTTGCAAAGGGTGTTTGGTTATAGATAACATACAAATACATTCAAACTCTTGGATACTACAGACATGTGGTGTTCGTAGTAATTTTTAGATGGAAATCCTTTGAGGTCTCGTTTCCAAGATTGGTCACTAGTCCCTCAATGTTGGCGGTTGTGAACTATCGCCATTTTTGAAAGTCGTGTTGGGTCGCAAAAAAGGAGATATCATCGAAGTGGGGATGCTAAGTACCCAAAAATTCAAACGATCTTCGCCTAAACATGTTACATTACAGAAGGTCATTTTATTTATTGAAGGCAATCTTTTGTCACTGAAGCATAGTATTAGCTTTCCCTTTCGGTCTTAGCTTTCATGATGTAACCTTTGAAACGTTTTTTTTTTTGTTTTCAATAAGGTGTATTCATAATTGATCATAACTAGGGAGCGCGTGTGTTTGTACCTTATCTTTTCTTCCTCATCGTGCGCCATAAGCTCGTAGACTCGTCCAGGGACAATGACATCAAAAAGCGCATTGTTTTCATCTTGCTCTTCACTTGGTTTGTCTTGAACAGCAATGATAATATCCAAATCGATAAATCTGTCAAAAAGATGCAAAGTGGGAAACGAATAAATGAATGGGTTGCCTCAAAAACAACMAAGACTAAGCAACAATTRGCCAAAAAAGAGGGTGCAAAATYATACCAAATATTCTAAGTAATAAATATCTCCTCACCCTCTAGGTTGTGTATTGTTCGTTTTTTTATARTAATAAAGTCGTTCATGCTGGTCAGTAGAAAACCATCTCCTTCTCCACACTCTTCCAGTTAAACCTTTCACACCTCGTTTACACAGCCAACCTCTTACTTGTGCAACCTGGAAAAATTATAAAACAATATACTTTTAATACTTTTGAAAAAATACACTGCATGCAGTCACCATAAGAAAATAGCAATAGTCCTTTTGCATCAATTGTTCACATGGTACAAAATGTCTAAATCGTAATATAAAAAAAATATAAAAAAAATACTTTTTATTTTCTCTTAATGATTTATGTTTGGAGATGTTGTAAAAAATGGATTAAAACGACTGCCAATGGACATTTAAAGTTTGCCTCAATTTTAGTATAATTATGAAAAACTTAAAACAGGACCGCATTGAATGCTGGTCGACAWTGTGCCTTTAAATAATACTTCAAATGTTTATCTAGAAGCAGTTTTTTACTTACAGTGAAACAAACATACCTTTTTATTTTGAGTCAGAGTATTTGCACCAGAAGACTATTAACCAATGTGAAAATAATTACACATTATAATATTACAATTCATGCATTATCCACACTTATCTGGTTACATTATAAACGATTATTTATATCATTCATTATAATATTATCAAAATATAGTGCATGCTTTTATTTCATTACCAAAGGTTCTTCGAACATAAGCTAAACRAAGCAGGAAAATGAGCATAACTGTTTATTATTTTCTCACTGTTCAAAAYACATGTACATATGTGTGCATAACTGAGTACTTACATCTACTTTAGAGCTGTTTTCTTTTTTGTCAGATTGTCTCTTTCCTTCTCTGGACTCCATCTCACTTATCTATGGTTAAAAGAACAATGCATTTCAACATTCACCATACAAACAAACCCGTAGGAGCAAGGAAGGAAAAGTTGGTTTATGCGCTGCCTTCTGTCTTTGTCATTTCTTCCTTTGCTTTAATYCGAGTATCACTGTGTGAAAGTGTTTAGCGTTGAAATAACATTATCAGCGGTCTACCACTGTAATATCTACCTTGTAGAGCTGAACTAGGAGGGGAGACAAGGGATAKCGGTAATGTAAGGGACTAGGGAATGGACCRGAGTGACGGAGATGTTCTTTTSGCGTCAAGCTATTCAATACCTTCATACGGAGGTCTTCAACCAGCATTTGCAATTCACTTATTTCGGCTTGCARATCATCCTTTTCCTTGTGCAATTCCATGATTTCATTACCAAGGACTTTGTTTCCTTCTCTGAGCTCATGGTTCTCAAGTTCAAGTTTACTTCATAATCGAGGAAAAATGAAAAAAAAATCAATTAAACGTTACAGTTATCGAAGCGAGTCTCCGCATTTGATATTATTTGAAAGCGTAATACATCATTTTAAAGCATAATAATCACACAATATGCGTGTGATAGTTGTTATCGAGTGARCATTTGTCGATAAACGCTCTTATTTGTAAAYCCCGCGCCATAATGACTTTTTCTTCTTCTCCTTTTTTTTCTTATCTCTTTCAGAGACAATCCGCTAGGATTGACTATATTTGTTTAAGGCCGAATGGTCAACTATAGCTAAATTTCACATGAGCCCATCCCCACCCAATCAGCACTCACCGCAAGTCACATTCTTTTTATTTGTTAGATAGGGTTTCACGTGTCAAGTTTAACGMCTATAATCTTGGAATTTACAGTGGAATGAGCATTCAGTTGAGTTGAAGCCTATGAAAATGGATCCATATATCCTTTGTAACAAGGATTTGTTTGTTACCTTATAACAAATTCTTGCTTTTTGCTGTTCACATCATTCATCCAATCCTTCATTCTATGTGATTCCTGCATCGAAAAATAGACAGGTGACAGAGTAAGTGTGGGAATTGGTAACGAGTAACGAGTGATGGGTCCCAATTACTTCAATMTTCACGGCTAATGTTAGCGGTATGCTGAAGCCGGAAATCCACTGAATTTGCGACACTTTTCGCTCAGCACCAAATTGATATAAAAGGATATTTTCCAWAGTSTGAATGTGAAATATCCCCAGATTGTCGAAAAGTCAGATGACAAATCTAGTGACCAAACTGCATAAAGCACCYGAACAACATCATGTACACACTTCCATAGCTTTSCYAGATCTCTCAGAAGCGTCATTTCATTCCCGATCCTCACAAGTTATTGCAYTGCATACGAATATGATGGCACCTACCTGGACAATACCATTTCCACTTGCTAAGTGAATATCTGGCAAAGTTTCTGCCCTGGTCAACTAGAACAGGAATTGAACAGCATAGATTTTAATTAAAATAAAATTAAATAAGATTAAAATAGATTTTAATTAAAAAAAATTAATAAGATTAAAATACACGAGACAGTTGTAATATCTTGCATATACAGCTATTTAAAAAAAAACGTTGTCGGGGAGAACGGTGAACTGCAATTGTTGAAGGGAGATTGCACGACCAAAAGGGACTATGGTTATACTGTTTTGATAAACAAAATTTCATATATTGGATTCACTTTTACATAGAAATGGAGAATAAACGGACTAAATGGTGTCAGTGTTTACCACAGACCATCTTACACTACAAATCAGCTGTTATTGCTTTTCAATTAGCAAAACCCATGGCTACTTTTGGTCGTGCAATAGCCGTTCAACCATTGACATTCGCCATTTTATCCGACAACCTTTTTTGAAATAGCTATATAACGTACGCTTATACGGAGATACACTTTTGCTCAAAACGTCTTCAAAATAAATTACCTTTCTGTCTGGAAATACAAACTTGATATCTTCACTTGGTGTTGTAGTGTTTTCCTCTGATATTAAACTTATTGAAGAATGATTAATAATATCGTCATTCTCCATTTCTTCCTCTTCTTCTTCGATTACAGCACTTAAAACTCTGGTTTTCTTTACTCTTGACTTTGTGGTTTGTAGAGAGGGAACTGGGGGANCTCGTGTGGTGACAACCCGGGGGGGGGGGGGGGGGGGGGGGGGGGGGGGGGGGGGGTACTCCCATATATTTGCTATATGGGGACGTGCCTCTGGCCAGGGTATGGTTTTTGGTCTTGCTGTCTTAAACAGGGTATACATTTCACCCGAACTTGTCTTAAACAGGCTCTACAATGACAAAATCTCCAAATTGTGTAAGCAATTCTTTTAGTCAGTGAAACTTTACTGTAATTCATAATTCATTGGTGTCAAAATAAATTTCAACACCAATCTGAAGTGTTAAAGGGAAGTTTGCACCATAATTATGCTTTGCGCTCCTCAGTGTTATTGTTATGATTTACACCAAAATACTTCTAGTATCCAAATATCACCATAAAACGAATGGCAGATGGCTGAAAACTATAATATAAACGTTTAAAGTGCTTAGAAAAGTGAGATGGTTAAAGATTTGAAACGCACATTACAATTTATAGACTTTCGGTAAACTGAAAATGGCCGCCTCCAGGCCCTCGCGGCCCCCAAAGCATAGTGGTGCACATTGGGTCTTTAATACAAAGGATACACCAATACAAAGGAGACTGGCGTAAGCTATACCTGTAGGCTCAGAATGATCTTCTATAGAGTCAGCAAGAGGGTTTCCAACCATGGCAATGTGGTATTCTTGATATTCAAGTGTTTTCATTTCATCTACAAAATTTGTCCAAGATCTACAATATACAAGCAACAGATATGAAAAAAAACCCACACAATTAAAGCAATTATTTATTCATCATTATCATTTTCTTTTCAAACGTTTCGAGTAAATTTTCAAATTTTTTTGGGGATACAAAGCAGATACATGCAGAAGGCTATTTTTTGAATGTTAGAAAAAACTTACTTAATCATCATGATCATTATTATCATTGTCATCATCATTATTATTATTATTATCATTATTATAACCACCCATCATCAGATCATCACAGATCATCATTATTATAACCATTATCATTCATTAATATCATTCATTATTTATATATATGATGTATATCCTTCAGTAGTTGGAGAAATAAATTGAAGTGCGAATGCAGCCTACTACTGGAAAAGAAGCCAAAAAAAAAATTCTGACTTTGAACGGGGTTCGAACACAAGGCCTTTATATTATTATTATAAATATTATTATTATAAATATTATGATTAATATTATGATTATCAATATAATTGATATCATCATTTGCTTATCTTCTATGTCTTTGGTGTTTTTATTTTTGTTGAATTGAAATTATTCTTAAAAAGCTATTAAAAAAGATGTTGCTTATTCCAGTCTTATTATTACCATCATCATCAGATCATCATAATTTATTATTATCGTCATTGCTTATTAACTATGTATTCTTGTTATTTTTTTTTGTTGAATAGGAATTGCTCTTAAAAAAGCTAAAAAGATGTTACTTTACTCTCTTGCGTTAACATTACCATCATCATAAGATCATCATCATCAACATYATCATGCCTATTATCAATTATTACTATTATCATATGCTTTGTATTCTTGTTGTTTTTTTTTTYYTTTTKKTTTTTTTAAATAGGAATTTCTTTCAAAATATGTAACTTACTGTCTTGCCTTCTTTTTCTTATTGCTGTCTTGTTTATAATCATCTTCATCATCACTAAATTCAGTCAGATCATTTATCCTTTGCTTGAACTCAGAGTCACTCATGTGACTAAAATTGCTCTCCATATCATCATCACTGCAACAAAATTAACAGTAATCATATCCTTAATGGGTAGATAACAGGGACCGCGGAGCGTGAATTTGTTTGGGGGGAGGGGGTAGCGGCGAGGAGGTACTAAGGGGGTTCGAAAATGTTTGAAATCTTAACTCTCKGAAATGTCATTTCAAGCGTTTTGATGCGWTATCCAAGACATTTTTACCACACACACGGTCAGCCATATTATCAGTAAATCCCATTCACAAAAAAGCTTTTAATTGTTAAAGCTCAGATTCTGCGGTCCATGTCTGATCCAGGGAAGAAGAATTGGGTTAGTCACCCCAACATTTATAGCAAGAAACAATTGATCTAGGTTAAGGAAACAGGAAACAGACCTTATTCAAAAAGGTGTGGCAGTGGTCATGCCTTGTGGAGCCAATTAATTATAGATAATCAGTGGAAAAGCATAATGATGTATGTTATCTTACATAATGATAATGTTTACTCTTAGTTTGCATACTAGGGTCTAAATGATTTGACAAATGATGTGAATGCCTCTCCTTAAGCAGTAGAGTGACATAAAGTTGTGTGTCCTGAAACTTGCTGTGTGCTCTATTTGTAACGCTGGGTGTTGAAGACCCCCCACAAAGTGGGTGTGGCCCTTATCACCAAAACCGCACTTGAAACACATCATTGAACTATAAGAATGTTAACATTCTTCCTTTTAACGTAAAAGTTTTTAGTAATACATTGATTTGAAAAAAATAATTTTTGAGATGTCTCATATGGAATGACCCAYCGTGTGTATTATAAGGGGTTCAGGAAAAAATGGAAATTACTAGAGTAAAAGTGCACGTAAAACTTCTTTAAAGATTTGAAACRGGAGGGGGGCATTTTGTACAATGTGACCAGTTTTTGTGTGAAATAATCAGCTTAGAAGCAATCGTAAGATACGTAAGCTGATAATAGGATACAGAATTAATGAGCAGAGATAGATTTAAACCACAGGATACTATACATGTAGTGCATGAATTCCATATTACTGTATCATACTTACTATACAGAACCCTGCTTAATAAACTCGCACTTTATTTTAGCTCCAAGTTTGGCTTGTACAACCTTTTTAGATTGTGGCTTGAATTCCATTTCTAAATCAAATCTAAGAAGGCAGATAACATTACTCCATAATGCCCAGAAAATAAAATCAAAAACAATTGTTCATGTAAAGCATTGTTTTCCTTACTCATTTGTATCTGGGGATGCAAAGTCAGCCATGTTGCATGAGAAAATGGCAAGTTTCTTGCGCTCAGCATCAGGTACCTAGTATGTATTGAGTCAAATAAACATTACTGACAGTTGGATCACATGGAGTAACTCTCAGATCTTTAGGTAAAAACTACAGAATTAAAGTTTCAYGAGTTTGGGTTTTGAGATCTCTTGGAGCCACASCCTTCTCCAAGTTGAGGTGGTACTCCTCTGAGAAAATGCCCAATGACCATTATTATTGGATGAGAAAATAGCTAGTGTACAGTGGAGAAGTAAATATCACATGTAATTAATAGACAGTTAAACTCTTAAATACTTGTATCACAGGCCAGTGTGAAAATAATGTTCATGTACTTACATGGGTCTCTATGACAAAGAAATAKTCTTTTGTTTTGAAGTTACCTGCACTATCCTAAATTAATAAAAACAATAACTAACAGTCAATAATATATATTAAGGTTTAGGCCAGCTTATCAAACCTTATATAGTTCTTGGGGTTACTAGCTATAATTGGTTCAGGTGGGTTTGGTAGGTAGGGCTAGGGTTGAATTGTACATTAGAGTTYGAGCTTGCATCATATTTGTTAATTACCACAATATACATGTAATTGCCAAGGGAGGTTTCTGTACACTCATATATAGTCTGCATTATATCAAGTCTCTCTTGTGATATTGTGGTAGAGGAAGGCAGGGGAGTGAGACAGGGAGTCGAAAGGTAGAAAGAAGACCAGAGTGGAAGGGAGACAGACACACATGCATCTGACTTTCAAGTTGTCTACTGTGAGGTAATTGACTTTGAATATAATTATACATGCATTAAGTGTAATTTCTAATCTACTAAAGTTGATTATCATATACCTTATAAAGCGTAACAACAAGTTCTACATTATTTGGAGGTGACCAAGATGCATTGTACATAAAAAACCCAGTCTTTGGATCAAGATAGCAAGCTTTGACTTCAGGCTGAAAATGAACATATAGGATTATATAAATTGCCAAAGGTATGCAATCCATATTACTTATAAATATATAGAACTTTATAGACTAAAAGTTTTCTGTCAACTGTATAATCCATGACAAGATTGCTTGACACCTGTGCAAATTCTACAAAAATTTCCTGATTAATTAATATGCTCTCTCTATACAAACCCTYTTCCCTGATTCAATGTCGCCAGCTGACCAAATATAATTAAATTTCTGTCTTAAAGTACCCAATCCAACATTGAAAACCCCCATTAATCAAAAAGTACTAAAAACTTATCATTGTGTGTTGTATTGCAAGCACCTTTTTGGAGGTTTTTGATCGATGACTTCTAAACCACAAAACGGTAATATTACTGGGTTTCCTGTTGATAAATACAAAACAGTTTTTTTGACATCATCAACTGTATCTCAAGTAATTACCCATTTAGTTCCATTAGGAAGATATTAATTAATGAATGAATAATTTTTTCATATTGTAGGATGTCAAATGATAATTTCAACTTTTACCCCTCCTTTGACACACAGAAAACACAATACTTGTTTGAGGAAAACTAGTTTCGTCTTATAAATTCGATCCTTATCAATTCCTCTACAACTGTTGTATACGATAAGCGTGCTTACATTTGAAATTACAAACAGCGCGTGTAAATTACGTAGCACGATCTCAAGGTGTTACAAAGAATTTTATGGATGGGAGAAAGGCTGATTTACAACAGGAAGTCCACTATAGCTTGAAATTAAAAACCAATCTGCCCAAGAGTTTCCTATCATGGTTCCCAGCACCATCTTGAAAGGTGTGCCTTTGCATCTAAGCACAACAATTAATATTATTGTTGAGCTGGCATTGATAGAACCTATACAGGCAACTTTAATTCACAGGTCTCTTTTCATTGCATGCTCAACAGAGCTCAACAGTCATCTCACTTTGATACAAAAGGCACATTTACCTATCAAGATGACACAGGGAGCCCAGGTGTTCAACAATAAGCGACTAATGGAACTATAACACTACCTATTTCACCTCTTAAATACGCATATTTTGTGTTTTAGGCCATGTTTTGATGCAAAACCACATCTACCTATCAAGATGGCATGGCTGTATTTGAATCATAAGAGTATACAAGCCTTTACAACCAAAACTTGGCAAAAGTAGCTGCCCCAAAGATCAAAATAGATGCAGGATTTCTGCAGTTCCTGGCTTCTAATGAAAAACCATATTTAAGCAAAAAATACAAATGTGGCGACTTTACAAAAGTTAACTCTTTCTCCAAGATAATTGTTGTTTTACTATTGTTAGATTATACTGGTTTGAATGCCACTTTTTTATTGTTAAATAATCACTTGCAGTTAACTGAGTTTATATGTTGACGAATACTAAATCGAATCTGTCAGTCTCGTGTGGTGACAATAATTACGTCATTGAGAACATATAATAAACTAATAAATATTATCATAAGTATGATATTAAATAAGCTTAAGTCTAACCCGGAAATTAAAGAAATCCCTTGTAAAAATAATTTTAAATGGTGCAGAATAAGCAGGCATTTGCACTCCTGCATTGCATATAAATGAGTACGATCGTTGTACATTTTTTGTCCAAAAACACAACCAAGGTCTAACGAATGCCATTTCATGTAATCAATTCATAGTCTTAAACAGGGATTTTCGTTGGCATTTATATCTGAACAATAACAAATAGATGATAAGAAATGACGCCCTTCCATACTTACAATTTTGTGCACTGTAAATCTACGTATTCATAGGTGACGGTGAAGCGAAATTTGCAAGCAAATCTTCCCTTGACTTGCTTGGCGATAGTTCGTCGAACTCCTCGAAGGGCTTTCTGCGCTTTTCTTGCACTGCTCATAGTAAATTNATATAGAACTTTATAGACTAAAAGTTTTCTGTCAACTGTATAATCCATGACAAGATTGCTTGACACCTGTGCAAATTCTACAAAAATTTCCTGATTAATTAATATGCTCTCTCTATACAAACCCTCTTCCCTGATTCAATGTCGCCAGCTGACCAAATATAGTTAAATTTCTGTCTTAAAGTACCCAATCCAACATTGAAAACCCCCATTAATCAAAAAGCACTAAAAACTTAGCATTGTGTGTTGTATTGCAAGCACCTTTTTGGAGGTTTTTGATCGATGACTTCTAAACCACAAAACGGTAATATTACTGGGTTTTCTGTTGATAAATACAAAACAGTTTTAGTTTTTTTGACATCATCAACTGTATCTCAAGTAATTACCCATTTAGTTCCATTAGGAAGATATTAATTAATTAATGAATAATTTTTTGGATGGAAGAAAGGCTGATTTGCCACAGGAAGCCCACTATAGCTAGAAATTAAAAACCAATATGCCCAAGAGTTCCTATCACGGTTCCCTGCACCATCTTGAAAGGTGTGCCTTTGCATCTAAGCACAACAATTAATATTATTGTTGAGCTGGCATTGATAGAACCTACACAGGCAACTTAATTCACAGGTCTCTTTTCATTGCATTCTCAACAGTCATCTCACTTTGATGCAAAGGCGTTCAACAATAAGTGACTAATGGAACTATAGCACTACTTATTTCACCTCTTAAATACCCATATTTTGTGTTTTAGGCCATGTTTTGATGCAAAGCCACATCTACCTAAGAAGATGGCATGGCTGTATTTGAATCATAAGAGTCTACAAGCCTTTACAACCAAAACTTGGCAAAAGTAGCTGCCCCAAAGGTCAAAATAGATGCAGGATTTCTCCAGTTCCTGGGTTCTAATGAAAACCATTAGTGATTAGGGGAAATAAGCAAAATATACAAATGTTGTGACTTAACAAAAGTCAACTCTTTGATCAAGATTGCTCTTTTTTTACTATTTGTTAGATTATTCTGGTTTGAATGCCACTTTTTTATTCTTTAAATCACTTACAGTTTTTGACTAAATACTGTCAGTCTCGTGTGGTGACAATAATTACGTCATTGAGAACATATAATAAACTAATAAATATTATCATAAGAATGATATTAAATAAGCTTAATCCTAACCCGGGAATTAAAGAAATCCCTTGTAAAAATAATTTTAAATGGTGCAGAATAAGCAGGCATTTGCACTCCTGCATTGCATATAAATGAGTACGATCGTTGTACATTCTTAGACATGTGGTCCAAAAACACAACCAAGGTCTAACGAATGCCATTTCATGTAAGTTAATCATAGTCTTAAACAGGGATTTTCGTTGGNTGTAAGTTTCATTTTAGAAATAAAAAATATAAAACTTCGACGAAAGAATACAACGGAAGTTCGAAGACTGCCTTTCACCACAGGATCCCCGAGACAGCCGGAAATCAATAAAGCTGATACATCTTCCATTAATCAAATATTCACCCAGTAATTTCTTTTAATTGTTTTTTGAAAGCCTCGAGTAGGTTCAAGGTCAATAGGATTTAGCTCAATAAACAATTTTTGGTTTCTACAAAGGCAGAATGTAATACCACAGGAAGCCCGATCCTACAACTTTCAAGTCTTTCAGAAGACATAAAAAACTAAAAAACTACAAATTGACGGAAAACGGATTATAATATTTTCTTTAGCAGAYATTAAAGACTACGAGAATTGTTTTCCTGTCATACGCTTTGTTTTCAGAAAATGGTTTATCTGCACATTACATTTCCGGTCACGTGATAACATTTGCCTAGTCCTCCTGTGAATTCATGCAGAATTTGTCTAGTCCTCCTGTGAATTCATCCAGATAGTAGCTAGAATAAGCTTGGGGCTTCAAAATCAGATATTCTCTTTTCATGGCAGGAATTCCCAAAACGATTGATTGAGCAGCTAGTTGCAATGACATTCTCAATGCATACTAAAATTGAGAACGCCTTTATGGAAAGGGGCGGATCCAGTCGGGATAACCCTCCAAGAGAAAGTTAAAATTTATTGATGTTCTACCATCCGCCCCCATTTGAGGTCGATGAGCTAAGCTCCTCCGTGATTTTCATTAACCCATGAAGTACACTTTAGCGTATTACATGCACTTTATTACACTTTGTCTTTTTTGTTTTCTATTATATTTCTTGGCTATTACACTTTGTTTCACGGGTTAATGAGAACCACTCTATCCCCTTGGAACCCTAGCCTGTTTGACCAAAATATAAGTCCAGCGTGGCATCTCGTTCTACTCCTATTAATTACACGAAAAGACCGAGGCTGTACTACTCAAGTACTAGTGAACGATGCATGTAGTTCCCGCAAGAAAGATGGATGCAAAAGGCAAAGGTAAAATAAACTTTAAGGTTTTTATTCTTTCATGACTGAAATTGTTCAAATACAATATTTTATGAGTTTCTCTGTAATAAATAATAAGTCAATGTAAGGGACTAAGTGGCTGTCCTTACTGAATAATTTGWAGTTTGCAATGACCGAAAATAAAAGATAGACCGCAATCAAGTGGTAGAGTTCGATTGGATAGAGAAGCCTCGCGTTCAGGGTACTTGACGATTTCACGTACCTCCCAAACCAACAGTTTTGAGATAGCTCAATCGTTTTAGTTAAAAGATATCTGTTATACAGGCGACTCTCTTGTGTTACCCTTCCAAATTCTGTTCCTTCCAAAAATATATTCTATAAACTTGGAAAAAAGAATATACGGCTATTTTAAATCAGGTTGACAGAGTATAATAGGACTTGCACGACCAAAAGCAGTGGTATTTATCTTCGATGAACAATATTCATATATTTCCTAAACAACGAGAACCAAAATCATTATCAAAGATCTTCATATAAATGAAGATACAACAGTAGCGACTGCCTTGATGGAAGATTGCCATCGAAAACCCATGGCATCTTTCGGTCGTGCATTTTCCAGTTCCATGCCTGCTTTAGYCACACGCAGCTCGAACTCAAGGAAACCTCCATTTACTTTTCTGATAAACATTAATTTCAAAATCCACCTTCCAGTTCAATCACCCATTCAGCACAATTCTGAAATTCCTCAACGTGGAGCGGATAATAAAATGGAGGTTACCCCGATTTACTTCATGTGAAAAACTAAGCAATATTACTCAACGTYATTACATACAGCGTGAATACCAACYGATTTGTCCTTATTTCCATTCCAAACAYGGTCAAGCGACCGCGCATTATGCTATGTGGAGAAAAGCTTTCTTCGAGCACAAAAAATGACGGGTAATAAAATCTTTTTAATGTGCGCTTWAATAWTAACCCTCAAAATCCTTTGTCGARTTTACTTTACAGAAATAATACAAAGAAAACATGTTTTASCGGACACAAAAAARTGTGCGGACTATACTACCTATCATTCTTTAGTGCACCGACGTACATAGCATAATTACAGTTGGCAATGGTCGTTTCTCCATGCAAGAGTCGAGTAAGATTTGTCTACTTAATACACGTCCCACTAACTTGATTTAGGTCATCGAAAGATGATGAAAAAGAAAGAAACCATTGTGTTGGTTAGCAGCAAGGAGCTAGTATAAACAATTTTACAGCCATTTGAAGGGTTTTCACAAGTCAAAATAGATCAAAATGGCGTGTCCTCTGTTGAATGTTCAATTGTCTTTTTTTTAATAATATTAATTTTTGATACTATTTTCTCCACACGGAGCACTAGTGGCTCAATATAGGAAATCTACATCAATAATCAAACAATTAGCTATTATATTCATCTTTATATGTCARGTTCTAGATTCTGCTGGAGCTATAATTTAAAGACTGTGCTGGTAAAGACGGTATCATGTCCAGTAGATACTGCCTATCCGACTCAGATACGAGACTGTGGTGATGCTGTGGTTTATGGGAAGAGTGGTGGTGGCCAGGAAGATAAGGATGCCACCGAACATCCCCATGGCGACGTGCAGCTACCTCCAATTCTTGCTGCTGTTGTTGTAAGTGCTGCTGTTGCAGCTGGTAAAGAAGAGAATCCTGATGTTGCTGGTGATGGTGATACAACCCCTGAACATGACGATGACGATGACTTGCATGGAGTACCCCTTGATGATGTGTGATATGGTGATGCCTTGAACTACTGCTACTGCTACTTGATGACTGATGGCTGGATGACTTTGTTGATAACTGAGGTTTAGGAGCAATGGGAGTCGACTCACTCATCTTCTGCTCAATCTCTTGCTCTTGCTTTAAAGCTTTAAGGAAAGCAGCTTTGAGTCGGGCTGTATGCTCCGTCTTGAGCTCCTTTTTCACATTAACTGTGCTGCATTTCTCACACATAAGAACATCGACCCCCTCCTTGTTCTTGGTCTTCCARCATGGTGTGAAGTCTGTGTTACATTGTCCACAAACTTTAGGATTCTCGATATTAGATTTTATTGACAACGGCACCGATTTGCCTTTCTTAACATTTTCTTTGAGTGAGATTGCGTCAACAACCATTTCAAACCCGACCAATGTCATGAACTCTGTGCTGTTCAGATTTGGAATGAACGACCATTCAGCTGGCGGTGGCTTGGGCGGTGGTATTTGAAGGAGGGTCTTCTCTAGTTGCTTTCGCAAAGCCATTTTAGCTGCAGCCTGCTTCCCGGCGCTTGTGGCAGGTGGTGAACTAACAGATGCTTTGGATGAAATGTGACTAGGAAAAGAAGCGTATCCACTACTAGATGAACCCGATGGTGGGTTATTGGCCCGTACTGGTGTAGGCCTCACAGGGGAACTCTGAGAATGAGTTGTGTACACAGTTGCACCCCCCTGAGAACCAGCACGTGGATACATAGGAGTAGGATGGATCAAGTTCGTGCTCATAGAGCTTATTACATTCTGCAGGTCTTTGATTGCAGACGTTCCAGATCTTGTTTGYGTTTTAGAGCTTGTTGATTGATTGACCTGTTTTGAAACGTGAAGGGATTGCACATTGCTGACCTTTGGAAGGATTTTCGGTTGAATAGCGACAGGTGGCTGATAGGTCCCAGATGTTGAAATATGAGTTTTCAGCGGTGGAGGTGGCGGTAGCGATTGATTTTTCTTACTTGATAGCTGATTATGGCCAGACTTGTTTCCAGAATACTGCACGGTTGACAGAATTTTTTCATTTTCTTTCTCCTTGATGAACTTTATACTAGCTTTAGGGTCATTCTGTGCCGCTTGTATCTTTTTCAATAACAAAAGCTTTGCTTCCTCATTTCGCAGCTCTTGTCTCAGCTCCTCGATTAACTGCTCTTTGGCGAGCAATTCATCATCATCATCAGCCTCGCTAGGGGTGCGTGTACCTGGTGCCGAATCGTCATCATCGCTAACTCCATTTACTACTGTTACAGGTGTTTCACCATTGGTCTTGCCTTTCTCCTCGTGAGCCTTCAATTTCGGCGCACGCAGAAGATCAACAATACTTTCCTTGGGTTTATGAGGTATGAGTGGCCTACGCTCAGTTAATAAACCATTAGAAACTTTATCATCTTTCTTTGGCTTTGGGTTTGAAATAGCTCGCACTGAGCCAAGGCCTAGATGAGCAAGAAGATCTTCCTGTGATATACATTCATCTGGTGAGCCGGGCGAATTTGGCAAAGGTTTGTTATCACTTTTGTCAACTTTCTCAGTGCTTGATTCTTTTGTTTCCTCTAATGGTTTTTCCTTATTTGAATCTTCCTTTTCTTTAATTTCTGTTGATGAGTTTTCAGGTTGATCAGATGTCTGTATATCTGTGGTTGTTTTATCTTCACCTTTCTCTGTCTTCACGGTCACGTCCGCTGAAGATTCCTCTCCTGATTTACCTTTATCAGAGTCATCATCCGATGAGATAACAACGACATCATCATCAGCTTTTTGACTGCAAAACAAAGAAGAAAGCATTAAATTGGCTTAATTCGAATGTACAAAAATCACAATTATGTAGTTACAGCATTATATTTTCATATCAATACTATTATACAATTCACAAATAATTCATAAGGTTAACATAAAAAAGTTGCCGTGATCTAGTCTGGACAAGAGATTTGTCTTGATTGTATACGACTTATATGAATTCATAATTTTAAGTAAAACCATTAAAACGCGTGTATATCAGATACAGTTTTATTATTAAGTAGACTTTTTCTGAAATATTAAGTCATGGTGCATTGTGGTCTAGCTTCCGAACAAACAACGCCATTGAACAAAAGATGTTTGTAACGAATCTAGACCACAATGCAATGCAAACTGCTAACCTTAGAGAAAGCCAATGTATACCATTAAAAATCATTGGTATGCGTTGAAACTTTATTTACGTTAAATAAGCCAGCCATATCAGGGCGACTGTACAATTTTTGTCAGCCCTGATGATGGACACTACGCTTGTTTTTAAAAGTCTTCTTCTTTCTTAGATTACAATTGYAAATGATAATGAACATATCATCATTAATAATTTAAATTAATAATCTACTTACTATTATTTTGAAAAATACTTATCAATAATTTTAATCAATAATAGCAATATTTAATAAGTATAACATAAACAACAGATAAAAAAAAAACATAAGAAGGAGAGACAGAAATAATATAAGAAAAAATAGTATTCTACAATGTGTCGAAAAATGTTAATTTATCAAGCAGCCCAAAACTATAAACCCTTAGTATCTACAACTTTATTTCATTAATCGGACTTTAATCAAAAATCTGTTATCGCGATATATTTATGAATACTTATAAAACTCATTAATATTCATAAGGCAAAACACAATAGAAATCATAGCCCATGAAGAGAGTTGTATATTACATACAGATTTCTTGTTCATTTGCATAAACTTTTACTCTGATTTTCTCAGTCAGATTGAATTTTTTTTCAAAAGTTTCTTTAAAACCTGAGCTAATTTACCTTAACGTTTCATAAGTAATATACAATATTCGCGTGCGATCTGTATGAGG